TGACGCTTCAGCTGCCTCATGCGCTCCTTCTCCACTGCCATCCTGACACTCAAACGTCGCAAGCTGTGTCATCAAACCCTCTACGAGCCACACGTCTAAATGAAAACTGTTAAATCCGACCATGGCACAGCCGCTTTGCCTCCAGCTTGAGCTCTGCCAGCCGAAGCTTTTGCTGCAGCTCCTCCATCTCCCCCTCCCCGACCATGTGGGAGGTCTGCAGATCCTCCATGCCTCCAGCAGCCTGACACAAATATGAATTTATGAGTTGTTTGTTTTGCGCAGGTGACGCAATGAATAGATGCACATGGGAAAAATGGTAAACAAAAAACATCACAGCTGACATAAACGTACAGTGCTTGCTGCAAGCAAGCAAGCAGCTGGATGCCCTTCATGTTCTTGCCCATTGCCCTCAACAGCCACCGGAGACCCTGCGTCCAAACCCAAAGTAGCACGCCCTGATGGGGGAGGCAGAGGCCTTCGTTCTCCACACGAGCCTCCTCCATCTGCTCTGCATCGAAGGGTGCCAGGGTTGACTCATACGATGTGACCGTGAGGATCTCGTCCTGCTCGTTCTCCGCGTTTTCTTCATCTTCAACAGCAGCTTGGCGGCAGTCCTCGAAAAGGGCCCCACCGATGTCCTCGCATGAAACAAGTTAGCAAATTATGTTACCGCAAAACCATTCTATAGACGCGAATGCGGGTTACCAATTCCAGAAACCAGTGTAACACAGGTCTGCCCAAGAGCTAAACGCAAGATTGCTGAAAACATAGACGAAGTGTCCGCGCGAAGCTGGTTGAACGCTTGCTGGTAGTCCTGAACCAGGTCCCTCACCATGGCATCCTGAGCAAGACTGAGTTGCGCGTAGCATGTGTTGGGACTTCATGGATGAAGTGATGAAGCCATTCAGCCCCTCAATTTGAGCACACACTAAATCAAGATTCCAAAAAAGCCAGGCCAGAACAGTTTGAGCTGAGACTTTAAATGGCCCGATTGATTGCTTCTCCCAAGTTGGTGAATCCAGGAGTCTAGCTCGCACGAGTTAAAGATGTTCAAAGAGCTACGTGCAGGCCCACACCATACAAGTGACTTTTTCTGTTGACAAGGGGCAAAAGAGATCCTTCAACATCAAAGGGAGGGAGCCGGTGTGAACGAAGTGGCAATTCAATTGCATTGCTGCGTGGATATGGGATGAAGCAATGAAATTCTTAAGACGCGGATTCCCACAAAGGGCTTGGTCGGTCTGCTTTACCGGGCTGCCACTGGGGCACTCTGGGTGTCTCCTCCTTGTACCACTTCCTCCGCAGGAAGTTCAGCATGCGCTTCAGGCCCCAGGCATCCGCGTGGGCCACTGCGGCCATCTGCTTCTCGTCCGGATACCCAGCCGACACGTGAAATGCAAGCACCTCATGGAAAAGGAGCTCCAACCCCGGAGTCTGCAAGCATGCTGACTCAGCCATAGCCGAAGTTATCGGCTTCAAGACCTCGTGGTTGAGCTTCACGCATGCCATGGACCCAACGCACACCTCTACCCCATGTCTCCGGCTCATGATGCCAGTGACCAAGGGTTTGCCACTGATGCTCCGCTGCCTAAGTGCCCTTTGGCTTTCCCACAAAGCGGGCAACGAGGGCAGCCACGTCATGTCCCAGGGCGGCCTGTCCCCCTTCTCCTGCACGGTCACCTTGTTTTCAGCACCAGCCATGAAGGGTGACCAAGAAAGGGACCTAAAAACTCGGGCCAAATGCCTACGAGGGTGCGAGTTTATTTGCTGGACAATGCTGCGCCCAACATGCCAACCACATACCAAGCCATCAAATGTCCCATCATGAATTGCGACCACTCAGCTTGCCCAGCCTCCGAGGCCGAAATAGCACCGGCAAGTGAGTGGAAAAGAGATGCACTGAATGAGCTGAGTGAGTTGAGTGAGCTGAGTGGGCTGGACCATGGCTGATATTCCAATTCGTGTTGCCAAAAATGCTTGAAGCTCCCCACTTCAACGCTTAAAACCGGCGAAGCGCGGGCAATGTAGGATGATGCAGGCATGGCAATGCGAAGAAAGAGCGCTTGGAGTTCTGAAACATGGCATGCAACCATGACACCCTTGGCTGTGTCCAGAATTTTGGCCGTTTCCAGAATTACGGCCGAACTGAAAAAAACCAGGTTTTTTTTAAACACCCAAAAAAAAGGCAGCTGTTTGGGGTGCCAGGTCAGAAACATTTGCAGAGCTGCAAACTCTGTGCCGGTGCGGGTGAATGCGTTGCCCCTCTATGAATCTCCCGGCAGCAGCCACCAGGCAATTGATTCTTTGGTCAGCGCCAACGCATGTTTGCCGGGCTCGTTGTCGTCACTGCTTGTGTCAACACAGGTTGCAAGCAGACTTGCGCCAACACTTGAGCTAGGGTTTCAAGCGTGTTGATATACGCCCGTCGGACGCTGAAGAGCCTAAGCAACCAAAAGGGGATGGTCCCGCTGGAGAACCACACCTTAGTGCCTAACCGTGCCACAAAACCCCAACCGTTGGAGAAAGCGCACCTTTAGCCGTTAAAGGTGCCCCTCGGAACCTGCATGCCCAAGCGAAAGGTTGATTCGCCTATGCGAATGAAAGCATCAGCTTAAACAACCAAACTTTCAAACACTGAGCGGGCATGACTGGGGTCTCTGGGAGCAAGGCACTAAGGCGTAACTGCGGCCCTTCTGCGCAAGGTGCAAAGAGGGGCTCTCAATGCTTGCCCAAAAAGGCCAGCGCAAAGAAAGTTCAGCTTCCCTGCCAAGGAAGACGCTTGTTTGGTGGACACACAACCTTTTGCCAGGATGGTTTGGACTGCCAACCGCAGACGCCTCAACCAGCCTCAACCCCTGCTTCAAGTTCTTCAACCCCAAGCAAACGCTGCCGCTGCGCCGGGGGCTGAGCCTTGCTGCTCTTGAAACGGAACCCAGGTGAGGACCCCAAGGCTTGCGTTGCGTCAAAGCCTGACTGCGAAGTCTCGCTGGGCTCGGCACAGCCAAAATCGTCCACAAAGTGGAGAATTGCGCAAAACAACGTACTCCTGACTAGCCATGTTAGCAGGTCTGCCGTGCGGCAGTATGCCCGCGAAATTAAGGGCATAATGACGCCAGAGCGTCACGCCTTGCGGGGTGAACAAAACAACCCATGTGCAATCAGGATTCTGCACGGGCAGCTGCCTGTAAGCGTCTTCATGATCTAGTGCCCAGATTTTGCAGAGCTGCTTCCTGCTGGCAAAGAACATCATTACAGACAAATATGCTGTCACATCGTGGTACATCACATCATGGTGAGTCCGGCACCTGCGCTGCGCTGTTGTGCCCAGATCTTCGCCAGTCCTCAGCTCTGCACACCTTTGCGCCTCGATCGCTTCCCACCTGATGGTCGGCCTCGTTGAGCTGACCCTGAAGCGCTGTGGCCAACTCAAGCTCTCTAGTCAGGAACCAAGTGCCACACACAAGCAAGGTGGTCTCGAAGACAATTGAAATGTCCAAGCGGGGGTCGCAAACATTGGGCAAAAGCAGGGCTTCAAACTGGAAAGGAAAGCGTCCAAGGGCCTATGCCGCGCTCGCAGCTCCTGATGGCAAGGTCGGCAGGGTGAGCGTCCCCTGTAACCATGCAATCCTCCCGCTTGGCCCTAAAGAAGTAATTACGTGCGCTGCGACACTGCGCGGCCTTCGGGGCCGACCCCGCTGCCTCAATGCTTGCCCTGCACAAAGGAAGCAGCGCAAGGCCCCACTCTTGACAGACGCGAACCCATGTCCTCCATCTGCGGGCCCTGGTTAGACTGCGCGAAAACGTCACCACGCCAGGCCTGTAAAGAAGCCTGCCGTCTTTCTGGCTGAGAGGCGGCCAGGGCCGCCTGCAAGCTGCCGCCACGATGCTGACGCACTGTGTGCGTCCTTGCGCCTCTTTAAAGGGGGAAGATGCTCTGGCGCCTGATGCACGGTCAAAGGACCCAGGTCTTTACCCCTCAATGTGAGGACTAAGCACCTGAGTTTGACTGCATCCACCACTGCTAGAATGGAAGCCCCGAAGGGCATCTGAATCTGAGATGCTCCAGTTTAACTATGGCTTCGGGAAACCCAGCAGCGTCACACAACTGAATCAACCCTGGAAACCCTAGCGGAAAGGCGCTCTTCTTGCGTGACAGAAGAAAGGCAGCAATATCAAGATGCGAAGTTCTCACGGCGACCCGAGTCAATCTCCATAACCTCCAAGCTCCATGCAGTTAAAAGGCCATGGCTGGGACGTGTGCTTGAAAAATCTTGGAAATTCGAGCTGAACATCTGCAACGTTCAGCTGCTGTGTCTGTACGCTCATGAATGCGCTTCCAAACAAGTGAGCAGTGCTCAAAACCGATCGAGATTTGGTTACCCTCATAGTGCTCGCGGCGGCTCTTGAAGTTAGCAGGGCAACCTTTCAGTACAAGACTAGTACACCAAGGGCACTTAGTAGCTCCAGCTCACACAACGCAACTTTTCAGGACAAGAATGGTGTGCAAAAGAGGCCACCCCTTGAATCCTGGACCCACGCCTTTCGCGGAGCTTTCGCGCAGCTTTCGCACCGATCCCCCCGCATTTTCGAAACTGGCAAACAGACTGTGCAGACTGATGAGCAAATGTATACTCTCGCACCGTCAACGCCTGCTCTTTTCGCACACTGCCTGCTCCAAGCGCCGTCTGAACAAGTATCGCGGACCAAGTTTTCGGAAAAAAGCTTTCGCGAGCTTTCGCGATACAGGGTTTTCTTTTTGCGGATTCCATTTAGGAAACCGTTTAAATAAAGATCATTGTGGGGGTTTTGGGCGCTGCTCAAGTCCTGTTTGGAAGGTCCTCTTTGGAAGTAACCCGGTTATGGGTCAAAAGCCCGTAGCCCCAGTGAACATCCCAATCCCCACTAAAATAGACTAAAATGGGTGGTGCACCTACCCCAAAAATGGTACCATTGGTTTGGACCCACAGCCACCCCTTTACTCAACAGCTTCCCTTCCCCACCTCGCTCTCCTCCCTTGGCTCCACTCGCCGCTGGGTGCCTCGCGCCAGCTTTTCTTCGATGGGACGGTGGATTTGTCAGCCAATCCTTTGAGTCCGGGCCAAAGGCACACTAAGTTTTACGCATTGTTTTGCTGCAAGCCGCCGTTGGCCGTGGACGAACAGGTCTCCAACAGTTGGCCCTGGGAAGGTCCAGCCAGAACTGCTCAACAGGCCATGCTGGATGCAGGCAAAGAATTTCGCCAGAACCACAAAGGAAACAGCGCACAAGAGTTTGACACCGCCGGTCATGGGGATTGATCAAAATATTTGTCCAAAGCGACAGCCTTGTTGAAAACCAGCTACTCTGGTGAATATGTCGCGACATCATTTGGCACTCTCGCAGCTCTGAATTCAAGGTCACAACTGTTCAGCAAAGGTGTGAAGTGCCCTGCGGCTCCAGCTCAAAGTCTCAAGTTGGCAGTGTAAAGTCCCAGCTTTTGAACAGCACGAAGATATCAGCTCCAAGTGTGACATTCGCGAGAAAAAGCCAACTCGCATCTTTGGTGGAGGCACTTGGCAAACCAACAATGGTCACCATAGTCACCAAATGCAACGCTCCTTGCAAGGACGTTTTGATCAACCCCCACGAAAGCATAGCACGTTTAGCGGCAGCTCATGCCCACATTCCCTTGGAAGTGTGGTTGTGCGTCTGTCTTCCCACAAAGCAAGAGGAAGAATTAAGAATTGAGCCAAGGTCCGTTTGGATTGGGACCCTTCGGACATCATGTTACACGGGGCCTTATGTGCACTTTTTGTTCCAACCCAATCAAAATTCACTGGCAATTGTGTTGCCTTCGCTTGCCAAGACCTCCACGGGCCTTGGCGCGCAGTCTTCGCGCGGCCATTGCGGCCTCACGGTCCAAACCCTTGGCTTCAGCGTCTGGCCGCGTTGCCAGAATGCATACCTTTGACTGGAGTCCATGGACAATAATTGCTAAGCATTGTTGCAAATGTTGAAACTGAAACCACCTGAATAACCTGGACATGCCCAGCTGCGACGGTATATGCTGGGTGTGGCGCTCTCTCGCGTTCCTGGCAGGAAAGTCAGCTGATCGTATCAACACGCCGACAAACAGCGGCGGTGTGTGCGATTTCAATTCCTTTGAGCCACAAGCGGTTCACCTCTGGTGGAGCCCATGCAAGTCCGTCGAAACCTCGAGCCGCCCGCCTCGCGGCTGCTCTTTTGACCTATCTGCAAGACAACAGCCGATTGGCCTGCAAGCTAAGAGGCCCCGAGGTGCATTCACAAGTGGCTGTTCCTCATCTCCGTTTGACCCAGTGGGAGTCCAGGTGCTTGAAATGAAGCTTGCAGATGGTGCCATAGGAAGTACTTCCAAGTTCCAAAACAAAGTGTGAAATTGTGGGGCATCTTGTTGCGCGGAATGTGTCATGCATAAATGTGCGGTGAGCGTGGTTGCGGCCTGGGTGTGCATTGCAACCACTACGCTCTGACTGTCGAAACGCACTCAGTGCACGGCATGACTGGCTGCCTGGGGCAAGCTCCCACTGTCTTATGTTGGCAAAAAGGCAAAGTTGACATGGTCATCACATGCTCAGATCGCTATCAAGATTCCAAGTCAAGCCGTTGCTCGCAACTCGCGGCCCAAGCTCACTCACTCCTCACATGTCAGCTTCCTCTTGGCCCCGCACGCTGCTAGCCGGCTGGCAGGGCCCGCATCGGCCTGACGGCTCAACCCGGGGAGTTCTCAAAGTCTCAAGGCCAGCGCCGCCTGTGCGAAATGCCCCGCGAAAAGAATTGGTCACTCGTGCCTTCGCACGCCTCAAAATATTTGGAGCAAGGGATCTCACCTGACACACCAGTTTCTGAGGCACACGGGCCGAATCATGTGTGGGCCATCATTGCAATAAGGAATGCTAGGATCCTCAATGCAGGCAGAGCACCACATATCTGCAGAACTGAGTGAAACTCATTGCAAAGCGGGCGTTACTTGCGACATGTGCCACAGATTCCCAAGAAAACGGCCTTCCATGAGGCTACTTTACCCTGACATCCTTTATAGATCGCCCCGGGCTCACATTTCTTTGGTAGCCCGGCCGCTGTGCTGCTAACAGCAGCCAGGCGGGAGTTGGTGAGGGCCTCAAGGTGGCATCGCTCTACCTAAATCCGGACAATTGTGCAACGATACATCCGCAGCAGGTTTGATTTCACTGAAGAGCAACTTGATGAGCCCGCAAATTGAATGATACTGATGAAAACGTAGGCTAGCGCGAGGCCTGACAGATGTTGCTGCATGTTTGATGCAAACTCAGAGTGGGCCTCGATTTGTCGACGCCGCTCCTGGCACGTGGAGAAGACGAGTTGCCAGAGATGTCCAAGCCGAACAAGTCATCGAGCTGTTTTGACGTGTCGAGCTGTTGAGTCCCATAGTCTGTGTATCATTTCTTCACGAAACCAAATGTCGAGCTATTGTCATCCGGTTGGCGACTGTGCAATGCCTTTGACTATTCTCTGTCAGGGCAAGCAACGGTGGCCTGAGAAATCTGCTTGAGCTGAGACGTATGGCTCCAGGACAACGGCAACCAACACAAGAGCTTTGGAACAATGTGACCTGAACACTCAAAAGAGGGCATGACAAGGCCAGGTCACAAAAAGGAGGTGGGAAACAGGGCCGGAAAAATGAACCACAAACTCAGGGGCACAAAAGAGCCCAGCATGCACGCATTGCTCTCAAAGCTGGGACTCCTTTTGCCTGGAGAGCCTCAGCCTCTGCGCCCTTCGGCCTGCGTCGCTCTCTCCCAAACCCTCTGATCTCTCCTCGGCGCGGCGCTCGATGTCTGCCAGCTCGCGCTCCCGAAGCCTCGCGAAAGCCACAACTGATCCATGAACCAAATGGGTCGTGGATGGATCAGTACCTAAGTCTGCACTATGGCTGGGATTTGCGACGCTTCTGGCAGATCAGGTGCACTGGCCATGTTTGCTCCGTGGCTTGTTGGCCTTCTCACTTTGCAGCAAATCGGTGTCTCTTTTATCCATTGATCCTGCACAGCTCATCCCTGGACACTTCTGCAAGTGAGACGAGGTGCTTAGGAAGTGTCAATAGACTTTGGGACCGCCGAGGGAACAGGCTATCTGTCACCTAGCGGTAGCTCTCAAGCAATGCTCTCGGTTGGAGTTTGCGCAATGCCGGCGACACATTGGCATGCAGGTCTCTGGCCTGAAGTTGACTCCGAAAATGGACCATTGGAGCTGTTTTTTCTTAGAGCCACCTGCAACAAATGTCACTGACAAACTACGAGGGGCCCCGACCGATTCGCACAATGTGCCAATCGGGAAGGAAGCCCTGCTTTCACGCCAACTCAAGCAGTCGGCGTAGAGTGAACTGAAGCTCGGTTATGACATGATTGTCAACAATTCCATGAAGGATGGCAAGTCTCCGGACGCAAAGAAACTTGCTGCCTCTTTCATCCGTGTCACGACCTGTTGGCTTCGTTAGTAGTCAAGTTGTCCAGCCGCGGCAGCACACCACGCTCTGCAGCGCCGCGGACCTTGGAGCGTACATCAATCCCGGCACCTCTCTTGCACCTGAAATGGAAAACAAGCATTTGGAAGCAGGTCGCGGAGCTTAATGAGTCTTTACATCTAGAGAGCGCTTCTCTTCAACTCTCATAACAAGCCGCAGTGGTACAAGTGCACTGAAGGGTGAGATTGATCACTCCCAATAGCTCCTGGCAGCTCTGGTTTCTCGCCGATACGCCATGCTTTGAGAAGATTGCGTGGGGTGGGTTAGGGCCAACCTGACAAAGGGTTTGCCAGTCAAGCATGTGGCATCCGATCGTGTTTGATCTTGCCTCTGTGCAGGGATGCCAGCTCTAAGCACGACAAGCACAACGGCCATTCCTCATCCAATGAGACAAGCCTTTCACAGTTCACCTGTCTTCCAATCTCTCTCCCTCTCAAAAGACAACCCGCACTGACTGTTTGGCAACCCGGTCCTCTGAGTCTTCATAGATACACAACTCCTGAGGAACCTTGGCAGGTGGTGCCTTTTGCAGATCGAGGGGCTACCCTCTTTCCAACATGGAAGGACAGGGATGTTCCAAGCAGTCTTCTCACATCTGTGTCCCTGATTGTTGGGATGGCAACCAAGCACCTGAACTTGAAATGAGTGCGGACGCACGCGTGACCCAAGCTATGCGACGCACAACCCGTCCTAACTCTCGCGAGGTGCGGAGTATCGATCAAAGTTGGCAGTGTTTCCCACGAGCAACCCATGGACTGTAATCGTGTCAGCCTGTAAGCTCTCCTTCTTGTTGAGCGAACGCATCGCTCTGTCCAGTTCTGGCAGTCGAGCGGCAATGCTCTCGCTGCGGGTAAGGGGCGTGCCCAGCTGCTGAGAGATCTGGGAGAGGGGCAGCAAACCTTTTCCGAGCACCTGCCATGAGCAAGCCGAAGCACTCCGTCTGGCGTGGCATCCAGGTGGCTAGAACATCGGTAAGGGCTGGCGCATGGGTGGCATCAGTGGCATGGCCGAGAAGCAACCAGTTCGCAAAGGCACTTGAGTTGTGTTTCAAAGGCTCATTCATGCTCATGCATCTTTGCCCCAAAAATGAAGCTATAGCCACAGCATGGTTCAGACGGTCCCCGTCTACTGTCGCATGTGAGCTTGGGTTCAGCTGACCTGATTCTGGAAAAAACAAACTTCAGCCAGCAAAGAAGTGAACAATGTGTATCCAGAACCACAGCATGGGATCGAAGTGGCTCTGCTTGCCAATATCCTTGCGAAACTTGGACATGCCAGCCTTCATGGACAACCTCCGGACATGGACAACCGAAGCAATGCCAGTATAGTTGACGCAAGGTCCAGCATGAGTGTTGGATCCTACTTGGCTCTAGCGTGAAAGACGCTTGAGTTCACACAAACAAGCTTTGCCACGGGTCTTTGAGCCAAATTTCGACGAGTCTGCCGCACCTTGGGCGGAAGCAGGACTCGTCTCTCGATCAGCTCGAACACCAAGGACTTGTGCCCGGTAAAGGCAAACCTGAGATACGGATTTGGAGTATGGAGCGAGTCAGAAGTTTCTAAACAAACATTAGCTTCCTCGGAGAAAACTCTTTGTGTGAAACTTGGTCACACGGCGCCGGCCGCCCCCAGGGTGGGAAACAAACTTAATTCCAACAGAGAAAGTGTATTCTTTCAAGGAATAACAAAGGTTTGCTTGGCCAAAAAAAAAGGTTAGTTTCTGGGCCCGGAAACGGGAAGGGGAGAGCCCAGAAACAAACGTTTGGAAACGTTGGTTTCGTGGAGGGAAAGCAAACATTTCCAGGATTGGAATCAGACTTTGTTAGTTTCTTGGGCACTCGCAGCCAGCATCACCAGCAACATCCCCAGCATCACCAGCGACACCCTGAGAATCACCAGCAAGTGGCGGCAGTTGCAATGTGCCGCATTCTTATTCCACTGGTGCCCTTTTTGCGGAGGGGGGGGGGGCTCCCGTGAACCCCCGCTGTGAATGTTTGGGGGATTGCTCGAACAATTATTAGAGGGGGGAGTGTTATTGGGGGGCAGGGGTTATAGCTGTTCGAACAAGAAAGGGATTAATTGTTCGGGATTGTTTGGGGGGGGGATGCTCGAACAACAGCTGAGGGGGAAAACTGCCAAAAAGTCGACTTTGTGATCCTTGCTTCCTTGTTAGTAATCGCACGCTTTCCTCTTTTAGTGTCTTCATCTGCTTTTCTAATCCAAATGGGGGGGCTGTGCCCCCCCCAACCCCCCCGCTTCTTTACAAGCCCGTTGTTTGGCTTTGTGATCCCAGCTTGTAACCGCGAACTCTCTCCAGTGTCTTCATTTTTTCTATGGGCGCCCCAAGGGGTAACAATTGCATAGGACTCACGCATGGAAAATGCATACACAATTCACAAACATAGCATATCGATCGCGTGCGAAATGCAAACAGAAATGCGTGCAAGGTGCGCACAAGAGTTGCACGAGGTAAATCGCACGCTCAAATAGCGCCAAAATGTAAGGAACCTGCATGCAGAATCACGCCTGCAAAATGCTTACAAAATGAGCAACACTCCCCCCCTTCCACAGGCCCCCCAAGAACAACCCCGCCTCCTTTTATCCTGTGGGTATGACCCTGACCCAACCCCCAACCCTAAAACAACCCCCCTGTGTCGGGCGGGTATAAGCCTGAACCAACCCCCAACCCTAGACACCCAAAAATCTGGCCTAGAGCAACCAAACTCAACCCAGCGTAAACCCACCGAGACAACCCACCCTAAATCATCAAACGATCGAAACCCACACCAAACCGACCCGAAACCCACCATACACCAACCCATAAACCCACTCAAAACCCACCAACCCATAAACCCACTCAAAACCCACCACACAAGCCACCAACCCCAACCCAACCCGAACCTATCCTACACCCACCCCAAGACCAACCCTAAGAAGGGTGGCCAGCCCATGCCCATTGGCCACGAACATATCCGCGCATGCGAAAGCAGAGTAGAAGCATGACCTCAGAAGAAATATTTGTTTTGTCCAGAGAAACAAAGGTTCCGTAGACGGCCAAAAACTTGTTTATCGTCTTGAAACAAACATTAGGCCAAGCCAATAGTTAGTTCTTTCAAAACTAACCAACTGGTGACTTGCTCCCCATTGCGGATTTGAAGGTGCGCCTCTCCCTCTCTCTCTGACTCATGGAGACTTCCTGAAAACAGCGTCGGAATGAGATGAAGCTCCGCATCGGGCTCTCAGTCCGTTTCTTGGTTTCCCGTCGAAACGATCCAACAAGCATGTTGATTTGTTGACGACGAGCATGTTCGCTTGGAGAAGACAGTACATGTTGCCCGGCTCAAAAGACGTGCAAAGTGCGCTGGCTCAGCGCCCCAGAATCCCCCGACGCCCCTGCGCCCGTCGTGTTCAAGTAGCTGGATGCCCTCATTGAAGGCAATCCTGGCCACATGAGCAACTAGCATACGGAAGAAATGAATCTCGGGAGGTTCACGTGTCATTGTGTTCTTAGTGCAATGTTAAGTTTCTGAATCGTTGCCTGGAGAATTCGATAAGTCTCCTCCTTCTATGCGGTAGATCATTTTGGGGCATGGCCCGGCGGCCTGGACAATCTGCGGGCACGTTCCGACAAGTGATAGGGAAGTGTGTATGGGTCAAAGTTAAACCACCGGGGGACCGCACGTTTGTTTCCAGTTTTCAGGGTTCCATGTTGGGTACCTATTTTTGCCCCGCAGTCAAGTGGTTGGTAGACAACCCGTCCGCTTCAACTCTTGTGAGAGATGGAGGAAGCATGGTGGTATGTCCTTGCGTTGACAGAGCCAGTAGCGGAGAAAGAATCATGACCCACGCAATAAAGGGAAGTCGACAACCCAAGTGATGAAAATAAAACCATGAGTAATTGTTCATGCAGCTTTGATTGCGTTTCCTTGCCCAATCTTGGCCGCTACCATTTGCTTGTCACTTCTCAGGATGGAGGTAAACATGCTTACGGCACTGCAAATTCTCCACGGAGACTGGGTGTTGATGCTGATCGCAGTGCCATTTTTGTTCATACGGGCGTGTCATTTTTGGGGGGCCTGGATCGACATCCTTCCCGGCCAAGGTCCTTAAGCCCTCCGCGTGGTCGGTGGCCGTCACACGCTCCTGTGCAAATCTTCAGCGATGCTCTGGGCAACGAGAGGGGACACATGACGAGGACAAAATCAAATGAGATGACACCACAATGCAAACTCGCTCTGTAAAGTGATATCGGGTACAGTTGGGCATGATTCTTTATGTTGTCAAGTTGAAGCGCTTTGTGAGCAAATGGAACCGGTTGCCCTTGGGATGCTTTCCGCACCGCACACTGGTCACGAGCGAGCGATGCGACTTTACAAGACAAGCGGTCAACGTCGGATTCGGAAACTAAAACGACGGATTCGGAAACTACTGGGGCGCATTATTCGGAAACTATGATGCGGAAACAAAAAAGACGGATTCGGAAACTAAAGCGGCGGATTCGGAAACTAAAGCGGCGGATTCGAAAACTAAAGCGGCGGATTCGGAAACTAGGATTTGGAAACTATTCTTCGGAAACTCGAACGTCGGATTCGGAAACTAAAGCAGCGGATTCGGAAACTAGGACTCGGAAACTATGCTTCGGAATCTCGAACGTCGGATTCGGAAACTCGAACGTCGGATTCGGAAACTAAAGCAGCGGATTCGGAAACTGGGATTCGGAAACTCGAACGTCGGATTCGGAAACTAAAGCAGCGGATTCGGAAACTGGGATTCGGAAACTATGCTTCGGAAACTCGAACGTCTCGGGCAGTCTGGATCTGCCAGTCACGACTTTCCAGTCGAGACTTTGCTGAGCGGCACCTGGATCTGAGTCTGGAGCTGCCAAATCTCACCCTGAGCTGGGGCTGGCAGCTGCCAGGCAACAGTCCCGACGGAGCTGGCAGCTGTCAGTCCCGGCCTTCCAACCTGGAGCTGCCAGCACTGGCAGTCTGGAATGCCAGTCCCGACTTTCCAGTCTGCAGCTAGTGCACTCGGGTGTCCTTACCACGTGCCAGGCATGTCTGCACTGCTGAGCGGGCGCGCTGGAGCAGGTGCTTACCATGTGCCAGGCATGCGCGCAGCGCTGGGCGGGTTTTACTGGAGCGGGTGCGCTTACCACGTGCCATGCTGAGCGGGCGCTCGCGAGCGGGTGCGCTTACCAGAGGGCGCGCTTACCATGTGCCAAGTGCTGAGCTGCACTGGAGCACTTGAGCGGGGCGCTCACCGTGCGCCAGGCATGTGTGCACTGCTGAGCGGGTGCGCTTGAGCGTGTGCGCTTACCATGTGCCAGGCGTGCGCAGTGCGAAGCACGTGCGCTGGAGCAGGTACACTACCATGTGCCAGGCACGCAAGCGCTGCTGAGCGAGTGCGCTGGAGCGGGTGCGCTTACCATGTGCCAGGCACGTGTGCAGTGCTGAGCGGGTGCGCTTGAGCGAGGGCGCTTACCATGCGCCAGGCTTGTGCGCAGTGGTGCTGAGAGGCTGCACTTGAGCGGGTGCGCTTACCATGTGCCAGGCATGTGCGCAGTGCTGAGCGGGTGCGCTTCAGCGGGGCCAGGCATGCGTGCAGCGCTGAGCGAGTGCGCTTGCAGTGCTGAGCGGGTGCACTTGACCGGGGGTGCTTACCATGTGCCAACCATGCGTGCAGTGCTGAGCGAGTCCAGTTGAGCGGCTGCGCTTTCCATGTGCCAGGCATGTGTGCACTGCAACCAAGTGCGCTTGAGCGGGGGTGCATACCATGTGCCAGGCATGTGTCCGCATGAGCGGGTGTGTGTGTGTGTGCAGTGCGGAGCCGCTGCACATGAGCGGGTGTGCGTACCATGTGCCAGACATGTGTGCAGCGCTGAGCGGGTGCGCTCCAGCGGGGGTGCTTACCATGTGCCAGGCATGTGTGCACTGCGCAGGTGCGTTTGAGCGAGTGTGCTTACCTGAGCGGCAGTAGATTCTGGAGTATAGTTTCTGAATCGGGCGCAAATAGTTTCTGAATCTGCAAGAATGGTTTCTGAGTCGGGCGAAATAGTTTCTGAATCGCGAGAGAATAGTTTCTGAATCGCGAGAGCATTAGTTTCTGAATCGGGCGGAATAGTTTCTGAATCGCGAGAGCATTTGAATCGGACGAAACAGTTTCTGAATCGGGCGAAATAGTTTCTGAATCGGGCGAAATAGTTTCTGAATCGGGCGAACAGTTTCTGAATCGGGCGAAACAGTTTCTGAATCGCAGTGTCTGAATCGCAGCTTCTGAATCGCAGTATAGTTTCAGAATCGGTGGACGTCCCTTTAGGGCCTTTACAAGCTGGTGCGACTTTACCCCACCCCGTGTACGCTCAAACTGTGCTTATTGGATTTCACTCGGCGAAGCCGTGCAGGGCAAGGCTTACGCCAGCAGGGCAAGCCACAATCTTACGAAAGGAGTTGGCCTACAGAGGGCTGACGGCCAAGCTTGGGCCATCAGTGCCAAGGCAAGGCCTGACCGATTTCGGGCAAAATCAATGCGGAGCATGGGTTTTCTCAGTAATACATGCCCTTGCTGCTGAGATGCAGAAACGGTGCCGCGCATGATGGTGTCGCTCACGTCGCCTGAGCAGTGTCTAGGTGCCAATGAAACGCCACCGAAGATCCAGAAGCCAAGTACAGCTTGCAAACATGCAAAAGATCCCTGAGAGTCTCAATACGAAGCTGCACATCTCTCCCACAAATTTGAATGTTGAAACCGTACCACTGTTTCAGTTAGGCAGGAATCCTTCTCTCACACAATCTTTGCCAGTCAGCTTCGGATGGGGTTTGTCTCCGGTCCGAGGCCAGTGCGGTAAGTCCGGTATAGCCGGCTGGGCTGGCTGGGCTGGCAGGCCTCACGCGAAGGAAGACTTCGGTTGAAAGCGTCTGCTGGATACCAGCCACCATGGGAATTCAGAGAGACATACGGGAGTTTGGTGAATTTCACCCATTTCCTCCTGGCAACTTGGTGAGTCTCCCCAATGCCATCCCCTTTGATACACCAAAATCTGGTGAATGTTGCCATTCGGCTGCTGGCCATCCATGGCTGCCCGCCTGGGTGGCCAAAAGGCACGCGCCGCCATATTTGACTTGCACCTGGCGACCGCGAATTTTCAGGATGCAGCGGGCCTAGTGCACCTGGCTCAGAATCCCCACATGCCCGAGCGAGGCCCTGCGCCTGGAGGCTGCTGCTATTCAGCTGCGACTTGAGTGTCGCGCTTTGCACCTGGCAGCTTTGGAAAGCTCTCTCACGGAATGCCAGACTTAAAAGGCTTCCATTCTCCAAAGTCTGCTTTCTCTCTCACCCCTGTGGGGAGGATTGCGTTCCGGACGAGTGCGCTCCTCCATGTTGATGAGCAGCACAGGTGCCTTGGTCGTGCATCCAAGACTCGTTGCAGCTTTCCCCACTTTTCCGGCATGAACCATGCCAACAACCCTCAACTGTTCTGCGGGCCAATGTCCTCCGGACACAAACTACGTTTCTGCTGAAGCGACAACAAAGCGTGGTTGCGGCCCCGCGGCATTTTCCAGCTGCTGCTGCAAACGAAGGCGATGCACACGTGTAGCTGGATCCTGCACCGAAAGTAACCTTTGAAATCCATGGCACTTTGACTTTTTCTCGCAATCGGATTGCTTGGTGGATCAAAGTAGGACTTAGCTTAACGAGGCTTTTCGAGGGCCCAGCTGCCAATGTGTGTCAAATAGATCCTGGGTATCAACAGGCTTCCCGGTCACTGTTGACTTCCCAAATTCCAGGCGGGTCAAAGCTGTCAGCGGCAGTACAAGCCCGGGATTGTTCTTTTTGACCTGCGGTTTCTTCAAAAATCCACATCCACGGGACAGCAAGGCACGTCAGCTATCACGATGATTCCATTCGCCCCAACGCCAAAGGAGCTCAGTTCAATGCGCCTCCGCCGGCTGCAGTTGCCGCCGCCGTAGCACCGCAACCGCGGCGCCAGCCGCCATGGGCCACTTGTCAGAGCTTCGGAACGCTCCAAAGAGGCCCAAACACCATGCCACTCTTTGATACACGCGGATGTACAATGCAAAAAGCAGGGCCTCACACCGTTGTCAGTTTGTCATGTTCGTATAGCTTTGCTTCTGCCGACAGAGATTGTCACTGTAAGAACTCCTTCTACAAGGTTCTGACCCTGCCAGAATGAAGGTCACAATCTCTCGGCACATGCTTCATCCAGCTTCATTGCCTTTCCATTGAAGGCTGCAGTCGCAAGCACTTGTCCGGCGCGTGTCTGTTTCATGTGTGCCCGAAGGATCGAATTGCGCCAGCAAATGAGTAATGGAAGTAATGAAGGAAGACAGAAGCAAATGAACGAACTAACGGGCAAACAAATGAACGAGCGAGCGAATCATTTACAGATTGAACCAATCGGCAATGTATATATATGTATACCTATAATATACACATGTCTGAAGCAAAAACTGCGTGAACATGAGCGAAGAAGGAGCAGAAGAGAACAAGAAAAACAAAGAGGCAAGCAGAAAGAACAGCCCATCAGCGCAAGGAGACAAACAACAGGAGAAACCAGGGCTACAACATCAACTCCACGAGCATCAGCATTGCTGATCAACGCATACAAGACACGTCTCCCTTTGGCTCAAACCAAAAATGGCCCCCTGCACCAGACCTCCTGGCATCGCGCTTTAAGCGCTCCCGATCCTGGCAAGGCTCACGACACTGGTGGGAAAGGCATGGGTGAATGGAATGCTGCAAAGGGATACCTGTGCAAAAACCAGTCGGCACAAAAGAGCAACCTGCAAGCTATGTCATGGATGCCAAGTGAATAGAACTACGCGGCTACCATCAGCCAACACAGTCTTGCAGACAATGTCTTGAACATGCTTCATATTCAGGGAAACCATTTGGAGGGAAAATCACGGAGAGCTCCAAAAAACTGTGGCAAACCACGCATCCCTTGTCGGGACCAACATAAATGTAAAGGTGGCAGTTCCGAGCCCAATCCAGTCCTCTTCCCACCTCAAACAAATCTGATGGGCCGGCGCATGGTCTTTCATTGGCTGTCGCTGACGCGCTGTCAACATCCAGGCCCTCCCCCCCCTCCCCAAGCCACCCGCATTGAGCCATCAGAACTGAGAAGTCGCCTTCTTTCAAGACCCCGTTCAAGCATGACAATGCACAACGCCGGACAAGTCCAGAAAGCTTGCACAAGGTCAAAGCAAACCCTTTTTGGGGTGGATGGTGCAGGAGGCCTTTCATTGCTTTTTGGCTTGCGAGTGTTCAAAGGCGCGCCGGATCGATTCGGCGACTCCGATTTGGAACGAGGCATTCCTAGTACCAGAGCATGCATGAGCTCTCGAAAGCTGCCAAAGATTAGACACCCTCCAAATACTTGGATTCCTTTGAGGTCTCGGGATCGTCCCATTGGACACAAGGCCATCAACACCTGGGCCATGATCAACTCGGGGCTCCCGGCTGTTGCCTCTCCTGCAATGCGAACGCATCAGCGTAGCAGGTTTGTCGTCAGTCGGGTTGAGCGCAAGAAGGTCAGGAGACCGCAAGTGTTGGGCAGTTTCCTCTACTAACTGGAACTCTGGGGTCAAATAGTGTTGAGCAATGCTCCCTCTAACCCCGCGTCCAGCTCCCTGCGTGAGCAAAAAGATCCCCCCCCACCTTGCGGCGGCCCGAGTCTTCAGCGTGCGGCGCCTCCTGGAGTCTTCGGCATGCACTCCCTCTGCAAGGTTGCTTTTTATGCTATGGCCATGCCAAGGGATCTCAAGCCTTATGCATGTTAGCCACACCAGGCGTTGAGCGGCTCGGCGAGCGGCTGCTCTCATGGACAGCGACAAA